AGACACACGAACTGCGCGGCGGCGGCGTGATTACAAACCGGACGTCTGAAGGTCAACCGACCGCAGAGTCGATGTGGACCCTTGTCCCCCGTGGCTGAGTGCCGCCACCGTGCTTCTTTATTCCTCCCTTTTGCCCTTGTGCATGCAGTGTGCGCATGATGCCGCTCTTTGTTCTGCAATGCCGACCCACGTGAGCGAGAAACGACGCTTTGACTACTGGCAACTGACGCACTCACCACCCCTTTTCCGCGCCACCACCACCACCACGTTCACGGACGCGCTCGATGGCTGGCGGTTGCAGCAATGCCACGTGTATCTGCCTCGGCTTTTGTGTGTTGTCCACGGCATCGGGGCCGTCATGTGTTGGAGGCATTTGGTGAGAAGGGCGTTGCCAATGGTCATTTGCCTCTTTGCCGGGGTCCCGCCACTCTGCACGGCGGTTGTGCGGGGCTGCGCGGGCGGTGGGAGGCCGATGGCATCACTGGGCTGACTGCGTCTGCGCGTCTTTGTGTCGCTGGCTGTGATGTGATGTGGAATGTCTGTGGCCGGATGCCGCTGCGTGCTACTGTGTCTGGCTACTGTTGTTGCTGCCTTTTTCTTGTTTTGCCTTGCAGATAGAGATACTGTGGCTTGACCACCACAGCTATCGTTTCAAGGTTTTAGGAATTACTCGCAGCAGTAGTAGTAGTATTATTAGTAGAAGTAGTAGTGGGATAACGATCTGGCGGAATCGGGTCACTGTATTTGACATCTGTAGGAAGGGATTTGCGGAGCAGGAGGCACGGTCGACGAGACGAGTGCGAGACACACCACGACAGCCCTGTTGGTACCTGGTTGGGTTGGTGGATGTGGTCTGCGGTGGGCGCGTGTCCGCACAGCCGGCACCGCGTGCAGCGCAGGGCCATTGCGGCTGTGCGTGTGGCGGTGCTGCTTTTGGTGTTGGCGCTGGTGTCGTTGGCGGCGTGGATGCCCGCGGTGCATGCGGTGGCGTTGCGACTGCGGGGCGGTACGGTGGAGAGAGCCATCACGGTGGGCCGCGCCCTGGACACGGTGCTGATGGACGGCGTGTGCATCACGAACGGCGTGGCTGTGGTGCTCGACGTTGCGGCGATGCTTCCCGGCGCGCTGCGCATCGAATTGAGGAACTGCGCTTGCGACGGCGGTGCGCAGATATACGTGCGGGGCTACAGCGGCGAGCCGGCGAGTGACCGGAGCCTGGAGGTGAGCGTGAGCGGGCTGTCCGGGAGCTACTGCTCGCTCGTGTTTGTGCACAACCTGCCGGCACACACGAACGTGACGGTCTGTGACTCGACGATTGTGACGCCGGGGCCGATGCGCTACTCCCAGCTGAGCGGGCTGACGGACGCGGTGGCGTCGCCGCTTGTGCTGCACGCGACGTCGCTGTTGCAGACGCAGCTGCGTGTGAGCAGCACCGTGCTGAGGTCGTCGCAGGCGGGCGGGTCGGCGGTGTACGTTGGCGGCGGTGTGGACCTGTTGTCGAGCGCGGTGGTGCTTGACGGCGTGTCGCTGGAGGCGTCGGGCGGTCCGACCGCTTCCGCGATGCATGTGGCGTCCTCGTCGCGTCTCAGTCTGCGGAGCCACTCGGTGTTCTCCGTGACGAACGTGTCGGTTGTGAGCGGCGGCGGCGGCATTGTGCTTGGAGAGCGCCTCGCGGTGTTTGATTCGGTGCTGCGCTTCGTGGGCGTCGAGGGGTCTGCTGCGTCGCCGTTGGTACGCTGCGGCGGTGGGACGGTCGGTGCCGGCGGGTGGCTGGACCTGCACGACGTGTGGGCGGTGGGCGAGGCGTCGACTGTGGCGTCGCTGTCAGGGGTGACGCTGGGCGGCGGCGCCGTGTCGATTGCTCGCTGCGCTGCCACCGGCGCTACGCTTGTCTCCGGGCCGACGATCACGAGCGGCGCTGTGTCCGTGCAGTGCAACCGTGCCGGCGGCCGCGTGCTGCAGAGCAGCGGCGACTACCGCTTGGCCGGCCTGATCTCCGTGAGCGTGGTGCCGTGCGACGGCTGTGCGGCTGCGCTGGCGTGCTTTGGTGCGCTGACGGCGTCGTTCTCCGAGTGCGTGTGCAACTGTCGTGCCGGCGGTGTGGGCGAGGCGTGCCTGCCGTTCGACGTGCCGGCTGCGAGGGCCGGCGGTGGTGGTGGCGGTGCGCAGGGCTGCGTGAGTGGCGTGACGCTGACGGAATCGGTGACGGTTGGCGGCGGTCAGGCGACGGCGTGCTTCGACTCGGTGGTGTTCAGCGGACCGATCACTGTGGCGGTGGACCTGCGCTCGATGGACGCGTTCGCTGACGCACTGAACGTGACGCTTCGCCACTGCGTGCTTGTGGGCGGTGCGCAGCTGCGGATTGGCGGCCTCAGCGAGAGCACAGCGCACCTGGTGCCGCACGCCCTCGTCAACATGACGAATGTGACGTCGCTGGAGGGCACGATTGTGCTGCATGGCACGATGCCGCTGAACTCGAGTGTGCTGCTGGCGAACTCGACGCTGCGCGCGACGGTTGGCGGGTCGCAGTACGTGCCGACGACCCCTGGCAACGAGAAATCACGGTACGGCCCCGCGCTTGTTCTGGACGGCGTCCGGCTTCTGTCGACGCGGTTCGTCATGACGCGGTCGACTCTGGTGTGTGGCGGGGGTTCGTGCGCTGCGATACTTGTGGAGCGCGGCCTCGGCGTGAACCTGTCCAGTGTCTTTTACATGGACAACTGCGCTGTCATGTCGCAGATGCACGTGATGTATGCTATTGCGTCGGGCCTGCGTGTCAGCAGCGGCTCCGTGTTCTCCATACAGAACAGCTCGTGGAATGCTCCGAGCACCGAGTACTACAAAGGCGCGTGTGTGTTTGGGGACGTTGTGGTGTCTGGCGGCAGCGTGCTGCAGGTTATGTCCAGCGAGTTCCGTCTTGGCTTTGCCATGCTCATGGCAACCACGCTGACCGTGACTGGCGGCAGCTGGCTGGTGCACCGCGACAACGCGTTCCGCACCGCCTACGTTGTGTACGTGGCTAAATACGACGGCG